TGTGTACGTATAAAATAATTTGTTAGTAAATTGGGCTTTTGACTGGCTGTGGTTGCATGTGAAGATTGGTCTCCACCGACAGGGTCAACGTTTGATCAAGGTACCTGGCCCTCCAGTGCACAGGCACGCAGACGCGCAGAGAGAGCAACACTCATCGACTTCTTTCCAAGCCGTTTGTTACCAAGTAAACCGTTGGCTGGTATGCACCAAAATGCCAAACTCTACCCAAGAGACATGGTGACGATACAATTTCAAAAGAGCAATGTCTATGATTTATCATCTGACTACTAAGGTAGCATCACGTTGATTAGGTTGACTGATAGCTATCCCACTCCATTGGTGTTCAGTTCGCATCAACCCACCTACCAATTGCCAAACACAATCAGTAAGTATCAAAGCATCTTGGCCAAACACTAAGATGGAACCTGTCCACAGTAGTAGAACGCGAACAAATGATGAGAAGCCATTAGAATTTTCTGCCGAGGAAATAACACAAAGAAAGAAAAGCCCGCTGGCAAGCTTCACCATGTCAACATATGTTGCATGAAGCCGAGAAGCTCTCTACAAGCAAGGAGCTTCCTATCTTGAGGCACTCACATTTTCGTCCAAGCTTCCGGCTGCCCTATCATGAAAGACGAGTAAAAATGGCTGTACATGCCGTATTGCGGACAAGGCCCTTTGTTTCTACCATTGTGCCTGCCAACCAGCGTCCCTGAGGTTAGTAGGCTTGGACACATTTCCCTAGTCACAGATGAGGGGCGATGCATCAAGGGACGGTCCTTTCTCCGGCTGAAAGTCAAGACAGTACGGCGAGATATCCGGCCACATACAATATACGAAGCCCGTCTGAATACAAATATCATGGCCCAGGCACAAATCAAAAAGTAAGCGACTGCTTACAATGGTGCTGGAGTTACATAAGGTGGCTGCAGGTGGCTGCCGACAAGAAAAAGACGAAACGGCAAATGGATCTTGCATAGAATCCTTCATCTGTGATTAACATTAGTCGTGACCGAGTCCCAACTTTCCTATATCTGATATAGGTATGTACCAGTCCGACATGATTAGAATGCATCTAGATATTTCAGGTATGTATTTGAGCGAAGTATGCGGAAGGGGAGGTTATCTGGCTTATGGGGTATGGGAAGAAGACATAGCCAATGAGAACCCGGTCTGCCAACATACCTGTCCAAGGAGGGGTAGCGGACAGATTCCTTACCTACACTTGTACATACCTTAGTGTAGACAACCTCAGTCCATTCTAACGTTCAGCACCCAAAAACTCCCCGCCGGCGCTGTTTACATACATCCCTGGGGTTACGTCTCCGGGGTACGTAACCCCGTTGTGTAGTGGCTAAGTTTTGCCAACGTCCTCCGTAGCGCCTGTCATGATGCTTCACTCGCCTTAGGCGAAGGTAACTACCTTAGGGAGGTACCTAGCTAAGGTACCTAAGGTAAGGTCCAGTAGCTGCAACCCCTCATCTTGCTTCTTTTCTTTTTTCTTTCCCCGCCTCAGTCTGGTCGTCGTCGAGTTGTTGGTTGTTGCCGGAACAGAACTCTCTTGAGACCTTTTACACATAGTTCAAACCACACTGCCATCTCGCTGCTCCATCATCCCAGCATCGCGACGTTCGAAGACTTCAGCGTCTTCTGCACGAGTCAAATCACATTTCAACCAATAGGATACCATATCCAGGAGAGCCGTGGAACACCCCGTTGAAAGCGCATGTCAAGTTCGCCTCCCCTGCCACCTTGGGATCCGTCAGATCACTGCAGCCCCTCAATTGCGATCCATAGCTCTACGTAAGGCGGTGCAACTTCCCCGGCCCCAGGCTGGGCAACCGTCGCTCTCGGGCGCAATCAGCCGACCATTGACTTCTTCATCTCTCGGCGCCTCGTCAACAATCCCCTCAGCCACCACAAAAGAAGCGGCTTTGCAAAGTGAAAAGGCATCGCTCATTGAGGAAGACTCAGGCTTAGCCAACATCACGAGCTTCTAGACAGCAAGACACTAAACTGCAGCAACAACATAGCAAGTCGCCAACCACCATCGAAACCCCGCCCTCGATCGTTCTGCCCATCTTGCTACAACATCCCGAGTAGACCGTCCCATACTAGGTTGCACCAACATCTCCCGATTGAATTAAGTCATGGACGCAACACCGACGTCCGGGGCACACAATGACGAAGCCATCATAACCTCACCTCCTGCTGTCCCTCAGCGAACTCCCTCCCAGACGAGCCTGCACAAGACCACCCACGTCCACACCCATCGTCAGAGCTTCGCCGAAAATCTGAGAAATGCGCCTGGCTCGCCTCGCGCCCAGCGACATCCCTCTTTCACCCAAGCTGCTGTACAGGATCTCCTCAACCATCCACCTGCCGCCAACAAGCACTCGAACCCGCGCTTTGCAGGCCGCGACTGGCGCGATATCTCCGTCAACGAGCTCGTTGCCCAAGATGACTTCAGATGGGTTACTCTGGACACCAGTGTTGAGGAGGCCTCGATGGTGCGTTCTCCCTCCCATTTTGTTCAAGTGCTTTGTATCTTTTACTAACGCTGTGGTAGACTCTTGTCAAACACAGCCCGTCCAACGTCGTTCTGATCCGAGAAGATGCATCGTCCAAAACCGCTGTTTCAACATTTGACTACAATGACCTAAACACATATCTTCTTGTAGTTGTAGGACTCGCCAGGCCCGACGAGGAGCAGGTACCCCTGTACGACGAAATCGTCAACAAGGCCCAGACGGGAGCCCGTATAGCCCTACGAGATATCCAGCCGCTTTGCCGCAAGGAGTCACTCATCACCTTGCCCTTTGATGAGACACTGGAACGGGCCATCGAAGTGTTTGGCAGCGGCATCCACCGCGTTCTGGTCACAAACCCCTCGGGCGACGTAATTGGCATCCTCACTCAGCTCAAGGTCATTGAGTTCTTCTGGAACGAAGGCATCAATTTTCCCGCCATCGACAGATTATACCCTGTCCTGTTGCGCGATCTTGGCATCGGCACGCAGCAAATCGTCTCCGTCAAGTAAGAACACTCTCCTCTTGCTGGCTTGCGACATGAACTGATGCTTTGTAGCTCCGACAGCATTCTAGGAGACGCCCTGGCGCTCATGAACGCCGAGGGTCTGACGAGTGTGGCTGTTATTGACAATGGCCACAATGTTGTTGGAAACATCTCAACCGTAGACGTCAAGCATCTGACGAATGCCGCCGACGCGCCATTGCTCAAGCAATCCTGCATGCACTTCATCTCTGTCATCCTAGGCGAGCGCGGCGTCGAGCACGGCCGCGACTCTTTCCCGGTCTTTTACGTGAACCCGTACTCGACGCTGGCGCACACTGTAGCAAAGCTGGTGGCCACCCAGTCTCATCGCATGTGGGTTGTTGAATCGGCGTCTCCGTCTCCGTCCGCACCGGCTACTCCCTTGTTGGCGCCCACAACGTCGTCAGTGCTGGTGCCGGGCATTGGTTCCGCGCCTCAGTCGCCTCTCCCGACTCAGGTTTCGCACGTTGTACCTGCCGCGGCCATGCCAGGCGCCCATCTTTCCGGCCGTCTGACCGGTGTCATCTCGCTGACTGACATCTTGAACATGTTTGCAAAGTCGTCGGGACTGCGGCCGTCGGACCCGGGCGAGCAGCGAGCGCGCCGTCGCAGGAGCTCCAGCAGCTCCATGCGGCCAAGTCTCGACTCGTCGAGACCGAGCCTTGACTCACGTCGATGAGGAAGACTTGGTCTTTGGCAAATATGGAGCAACAATGAAATCCTAGAAAGCTTTACATCAGCTTTTAATGACTGGCGTTTACGGGTTCGTCACATGGGGCTTCTGCTTTCGCTAGAGCATGCTTGTGCTCATTTTTTATGCTTTTTTTTCTGTCTCCATTAGACGGCCGAAGCTTCAGACGAGATATTCTAGATCACTGTCGATAACAGGCGCTTCCCGCACTAAATGTGATCTGAATATTTTTCCACTTTATGCTGCTCGTCCGTGATACATGGGGTGAATCTCTGTCATATACTGGGCTCCGTATCTGTATGGCCTCTGTCGTCTTCTAGGCAAGTGTCCATATCTTACCAACGACATCGCTAAGAGGGCAATGTTTCGCAGTTATCTAGACCGAGAGCCGTTTCTCCCCACTTGTAGACATTGACAACTTCGCGTATAACCAAGCAGAGCAGACCGACCAATCTCCCTTGATCGTGACGTGTTGAAAGACCAAGCACGTGCTCAAAGGTGCTGTCATCAGCGTGCCGGCCTTCTGGATCCCAGATCCAAGCATGATGATATACCTCTCCTCACCTCAGGACCCGATGAGCTGCCATAGGTTACTACATCATCTCATGAATAAACATGGTCCTGAGCAAATCTCACAATTTTCAAGGAAGTCAAAAAAAGAAGTCCCGAGAACGCCGTCTCTCTTTCACAACAATTTTCCAAATAAGTTGGCCGGATGAAACTAAATAGCGTGTGAGATTGAGAAGGGTGGTGAGTGTATGGGTTTAGATACATCATGGTGAATACGAGGTAATATACACAATGAACGAAAAAAAAAGGACCAAAAAAAACAAGCTATCCATGGCATTATGTAGGACCGTGAGCCAACGTACAACCCCTAGCTAACGAAAGCCAGAATCATACCGCTCGGCCATCGACTACAACGGACGATGCTTGTTGAAAAGCAATCCCCCTTTGCGTGCCTATGAAGGCATTCCCCCTGCCAATCCCAACCCTCGATACACCAGCCATTCAGATCCAGCTTTTCATGCCTCACAATCAATGAAACGGATATTTGCTAACAATGGTTTTTTCTCATTCTGCGTCGCATATATGTACTAAGTTGGAGTTGTGGTCCACACACTGAATATGTACACTTCACAACAAAAACTTCTCCCCTGCCTCCCCCATCTCCCTTCCACTCATGACCTCCTCCAAGTCGGAATTGAAGCCGTGGCTAGCTTCAGAAAGTGGGAGTTTGTTCGAGTTCCACACTCTAGATGGGAACGCCAGCAGCGGCGCAGGTGGCCTGAGCCCAGGAAGAGGCAGCAAGACTAGGAGCCCAAGAGTCAGTATTCGGAAACGCTTGATCCCTGCCTCCATTCGGGAAGATGGAGACGTAGAGAGGCAGAGAGAGGAATGGAATGTCCACTTACGCGTCGGTAAGCTCGCAGGCACCTAGGACGCAGGTGGTCACGGCGCTGTTGTACGCGGAGGAACTAGGTGGTATCCAGCACATATTAGTGAATGGGCTCGTGAAGGGGTTCCAAACAGGGGCAAGAACTCACGCGCAGATGCAGGCGAAGTCGGTCTGGTCAGTGCAGCCGGAGATGGGGAAGTTGTCGACGAAGCAGGGACGCTGGATATCATAGGTTCTTCTCGTTAGCCACATGGTTCGAACTTGGAAACACCAAGAGTCGTCTGTCTATATATCTGTCTTGAGGTAGACAAAACGAAGGGGGCACTGGAGGAGATGAGGTGTCTCATACCGCGCAGTCGGGGAGGGTGGAAAGGTCCTGGGCAGCGACGAGGCTGGCGAAGAAGGCGACGGCGACGGTGGTGAACTGCATGTTGACTGATTGGTCGTTTTGAGACGGGTGAATATGGGCTTGGTAGTGTAAGTGATCTGAGCTGGTGATGTTGTGCAATTGGAAGGGTTGATCACGACATCTGGGGATGACGATGGGTTTATATAGATCGTTTTCCGTCCCTGCTCTTGTCTGACTATCCTTTACTCTTTCAACCTACATTGCATCGATACCTTGCCAACGTCAGGAGCCCATCATGGTCCTCTACCCCGCAAACTACTACCCGCATTCTTCCTTTCCCATATTTTTCGATGTCTCTCCTCTTGCTTACCGTTAGAAGTGCATCTCCAAATTTCACATGATGCCGAAGAAAAACAACGAGGGTGGACGAAGCTCCAAGCGGGGTTGGCCGTTGAGGGCAAGCGAGGAGGCTTTCGCCAAGATGGTTCATCGCGGCATTGGAAAGCAACCCCAGACGGATGTCACGTCCCCCAAAGGGAACTGGTCAACATCGGCGACTTTGCCGGATGGAGAACCCACGGGGGAGACAGACGTTTGGAGGTTGGGAAACTTGATTCAGATGATGTGGCTGTACGTATGTCTGTTTACCTCAGCAAGGGGGTTGAAGAGTGGTGGAGGGCATCACGCTGACTTGAATCACATCAGACCAAGGATGAACCCCCCTCGAAGTTGGGCTTAGAGACGTCCAACTAGACGTTTCTTCATGGAACCAAAGCATGAGACGAACCTCTGGGTGGTAGCAGACAACCTCCGCTGGCATTTCCTTGGGCCATTGACCGGCTCCGACATACGCTTCCGCCTAGAGTATTCACTCGCAACGGCGGACAGCTCCTCAGCCCATACCATATCACGCCAAGACCCAGTCGATTAACACGAGCACATATAATGCCCAAACCTCCCCAAGTTCCTCCCTCCGCTCTGGCCCGCAAAATTTCGGCCGATCACAAGGCCAACTCGGACATGGAGGCATCTCGACCGATGTGACATTGGCTTAAAGTTGCGGGGAAGCTTGTAAGTAGACAGGCCTATCCGTCACTTCCCAGCCGCATGGCCAGCAAGCGATGAGCGGACGAGAGCGGTTCATCTCACGTAATTGTCTATTCCGTCTTAAGACAACTGCAGAACACCCACGTCACTGTCTCGAGATCCCCCTCCAAAATTCGGCCAGGCACACCACGGCGCAGCGGTTGCTGGGTGATCGGCTCTGCCAGGAACTTGGATAGGGAGGTGGTCTCTCCCCAAACCCTGCTTGTGGACTGCTGCAAATCCGGGGATTGCGGGGGCGGGCGGGGAGGGAAAAGGGGTGGTATTCAGTCCAAGTTATTCCGGGGGTGTTGCGAGGTTGCACTCGGAGGCCAGTCAGGGTGTGGCCAAGGACGAGTTCCTGCATCGGGGGAAGCATCGGGGGAGGGGAGGAGTTCGGGGCGCCGCCGCCGCCTGCGCCTCTGTGGTGAGTTGATAATTTAAGTGAAAGTGGCTTGCCGAGGCGAGGCGTTCTAAGAGGAGGCGGATTGAAATAGCTTCTGATAATGTGACTTTAGACCATGGGGCCGACTGGCTGCTCGCTATACAATTTTCGAATAAGCTGAGATGAGTCGTCTGTAGAGGACAAACAAGGGGCGAAGAAAGCTGTTTAGAGCTCGGAGGAATGTCGAATTCATCACTAGTTGGACAGGGCTTCCCCGCGCCGGCACTTCAATGCCGCCTTTGGCATCTGAGATTGCGATTGCAAGGGCTGGGGGGGCAAATGACGGCTTGAACTGTCTGCAAGTGAATGAATGATATCTTGTTTTTAATGAGGTTAAGCTGATGCGCCTTTTCGGAAAGTCCGAACAGAGCGGAAATAATACTTTGACGCAAAAAATGATTGTCAAATATACACGTATGACTTAGTTCCAGCATGGCAGATACAATGAGGCCGAAAATATGAAGTCATGAGCAATGAATAGGTCAAAACCAGACTGGGACGTTAGATATAATGTAAATCGTGCTAATCGGGGGAAAAAGGCAAAAAGTTCCGAAACCGAGAATCGAACTCGGGGCTATGCCTAACCTCTCACTGAAATGAGAGGGCATCATGTTGGCCACTACACCATATCGGATGTGGATACCTGGAGCCACCAAACGACAGTCTAGGTAGAGAGCTCATTTGGCGGTGCGTGAAAAGTGCAGAAACAAATCCGCAAAACTGGATATCTTTGACATGGGCTGGTCTGTTCTTTTATCGTTCTCCTTTTATCATTCAAACTCATCAGAGATAAAAGTATAAGACACTGCATGAACTAAACCAAAAGTCTAGCTTGAATTGACTTTCAGAAAGGTTCGTATGCGCTTAGGTGGGTGTTATCTCAGCCGCACACTGTGCCCTAACACTGTCTTTCAAAACTTTCAAACTTCCAATATCTCACAGGTCATCTCATCTCAGAATTCACTTACAGCAACCCCATCCCAACTGAAATCTCACAACAAAAATCATTACACACGCGCACATACGCACATTTTCTTTCTCTTCCTGCAAGCAGAAGAAAAACGGAACAAGCCCAGCATCACATATCCCTATACCCGTATCTCATCATGGCGACCACAACATCCCAAGACTTCACAACCTACTACCTCCAACGCACAACCCAGGAATTCGCAGAAGATCTCGACAAAGTCCGCGCCGCCGACGACTTCAAGGCCGAGTCGCTGCCCTTTCTGATTCACGCCCTGCAGCAGGGCACCGCGCTCTACTCCGCCCGGGACCAGGAGCGCGTCGTCAAGCCTGCTTCAGCTGCTGCTGCTGTAGATGAGGATGTAGAGATGGTGGGGGCAGCCGAGGAGGACGCTGCCCCAAAAAAGGAAAAGAAGGAGAAGAAGGACAAAAAGGAAAAATCCAAGAAGAGGAAGTCGACTTCTGGTTGAAGAGGGGGGTCACTGCGGTTAGTTCCTTGATGTGAAGGAATTGGAAGGCGGAAAACGTCCTTCGCATGGCAACAGGGGCGCGACTTTTCAACGACACGCTCATTCATCAGCCCGCCAAGGAGGGTTCTCATTCCTCAGGGTGTTCTACCGAGCCTCGCGACTGAGCCGCCATCGAGGAATACGCTATTCGTTACGCAGTATCGAGGCCCGACCTCAAGTTCTGTAATAACACGAGAGCGAGCGAAACGGGCAACGCGGCAGGAGGGCAATCAAGGAATTTCGGGACAAAAGAGCATTTTCATTCCAAATAGCCTTCATTGAAGCTGCACTGGCAGCTTGATAGATACTCATCCTCCGGGGGTTGAGGAAACTTCGGGTCAAAAGGATTTTGGATTAAGGCTCGCTGGAGCTCAAAGGGGAGTTATGAGGAACCCAGAGTCAAAAGGTAGATATCCTCAAGGCATTCGAGAAGGAAAGTCTGGTACAGGCACAGAAGATAGATAACGGTAATGAGCTACGGGGCCGTAGCAAGGCCAATACAAAGGAGTCTCATGCCCAACATATCCCATTGCTACTATGTCTCAAATCACGGGGGTTTATAATTCGTTACGATAATCAAGTAATCATTCAACTCTCCAGGCTGTCATAAGGGTATCTCTAGGATTAAGAATGAAAAAAAGAAGAAGAAAACGCCTTCAGTCATGCTTCACACATGCCGTCGCTGTCTAATGCCCTTGTCGACCGCATATTCATTACTGCGTCATTACCGTCGTCGTTCCGCACCAACACTTCTGACTACTCAATGCGGTTCACAAGCAACCCAAGTCTAATCATTCGTCGATAAATCAGGGCAGCCGATACGACCGGCGGCCGGCCTCCTTGCGCACAGCCCAGCCTTTGATGGCCAACACAATGATGACCCAGGCCATCAAGACGCCTACAAGACCCATGGTCACGGTGTACATGAACATGGCATCCAGATTGTAGTGCTCCATGCCTTCGACTGTGTCGCTAGCCTGAGGAATTGTAAGCTATTACTCGTTTGGAGAAAAGTAGGTGAAAGGGGACTTACGCTCGCCATGAAGATGATCCCACCAGAAATCAGGCCAAATGAGGCAAGGAGCTCCGTGGGTGGTCGAGACGGGAGAATGGACTTTGGGGGCTTCAGGTACATGATGACATACGAGAACCCACGAGCAAAAGAGGCGCCGGTGAGGAGGTTACCCCACTGCTTGTGAATCATGCTCGAAACCATAGAGTGCTGCGTGTGCGAGCTCATCATAATGCCCAGGAGAAGGATGACGAGTGCTGGGATGGGGTTAATGGAGAACTCATATTGCTTTGGCGGTTGTAGGTCCTTCTTCTGCTCTTCCTCGTCGCGGTAGTGCTCAGAAGCAGCGTTGATGACTGATGTGTTCAAGAGCTCTCGAACCCAACTAGATTCGATAAGCATGCCAACCTGTTTTCACTTGTCAGTCAAATGAGCGACTCGCGATGCTGGCGAGAAGAGGCTTACCAGTCCACCACCAATGAAGAGAACAGTGATTGAGATGTGCTCCAAATCCTGCGCGCTGTATTCTCCTCCCCAGTTTCCAAGATGCTCGAGGAAAATGTTGGTCGATCCGTAGACGAAAATGAGGGCGCTCTCGACAAACTCGGCCGAGGGCCGCCACTTGCCGTCGGCACGCTTCGGCCGAACATTCCACGCCTGCCGGAGCAAAGTCAGCAAACTGATTCCGAACACGGCCGGCAAAGCACCGTTGACTTACCCATCCGAGTTCACCAAAGCTGCCGGTCCATCGACCAAGGGTCAACAAGCCAAGCCAACAGAAAATGCCGCCCTTGACCCAATGCGCCAAACCGCTGAAGATGCCGTTGCCCTCCTGTGCATGGTTAGCTTTGTAACTCCAGTAAGCTCGTTCGTGTATTGCTTACAAAGAACCGCCCGTAGGTCACAATACCTAGGCACAAGGTGACAAACCCCAGCGGCAAGATAAGTCTATCGATTGAGTTGTAGAAAAAGACCAAGCCCTTCAACACGCGCGAAGGAATCTTCCCCGCTACTCTTGCAATCGTCGACCTGGGGTTGGCACTGGTGTTCTCGTCCCTGTTACTCGGCATGGGCATGGGAAGGCCATCTTCAATATCGTCCTCTTCTTCGGCGTACTCCTTTAGGTAGGCGTCGGAGTTGCGCGGGGACACCTCATTGGACGATGAGGAGCGGGAATGACTCCGGAGCGATTCGGTACAAGGCTCGGTGCCCTGCCCGCTGTCGTTGGACAGGCGATACTCGCTAGCATATCGAGAGCTGTTAACGCGGTGGTGCTCTGCCATAGCAGCCGCAGTTACTGGAATGAATGACTGGTATTGGTTACTGTCGGATGTTCCGCGCCTGTCGTGCCTCAAAGCGCCAGCAACTCTTCCAACAAGGCCGATCAGGACCTGCGCCAAGAGAACCCAAGTCACCAGCCAGCCCAGTTTGTGGTGCGCATTGTTGGGGTAGAGATCAGGCGTGCTGGCATTGTAGATTGTTCCCAGGAGAACTCCAAGCGCATTGACGGCCATGAAAACAAATTGCAGCGCAAGTGTATATCTAGAGCGAGCAATGGAAAGCATCACAGCTGCGAATCGCGTGTAAGTCGGCGTAGGATTACTGGCCAGAGCTCGTCAAACTTACCAATTGGCAGAACAAATACCCAGGCGAGCACCATAAGTCCAATGTGTGCGTACATTATTCCGGCATGGTCGGCGAGCGCAAAGTATGTTGGAGGATAGCTTTTGGATTCGGCTTTTGACTCGTCTGCGCCTTGTGCCATGCCCATGTCCATCTCCATGGCGTCGGCGCCGGCTTCGTGAGCGCCATGGGCAATAGCCAAGGGCGCAATGCCCAGTACCACCACCGTGGTGATTTGGCTAGCTGACAATTTCATCAAGGGCCCTTTTGCGACTAAGCTATCCGTTGTCGCAAGAGGAGAAGAGGAAGATTCGGCTATGTCGCAAAGAGGAACTCGACCTTTCCCCGGGTCTATTTAGACAAGGTACGGTAGAGTCGGCAAGAGGTCTATCTGGCGCCTCTTCGCAGCTTCGTACGCAAGGACAGAGAGCAGGAGGGTAAGCTTCAAAATTATTGAGAAGACTCTATGAGCGAGAGCGAGGTCGGGTCGCCTTTATTAAACAACAAGCAGAGTGGGGTCTAGCGAAGAGAGAAGTAGAGACGTCGCACCGGCGCCAGCACCGTAGCGGAGACCGAGAGAAGTCCTTTTGCGACAAGATTCTTGTCTAGAGGTGTAAGTGAGGTACAAAGCCACGGTGAAGGATAGCCCAAGGATAGCTTCTTGGAGCTGGCGTCGGTACAAGACGATGACATGGCCGGACTTTGAGTACCTTGAGACCGGGCAGCCAGAAGTCAGGTCATACCCATGCGCATTCCCCATCTCCACCGTTCCTTATGGGATGGTGCAAGAAAGTACCGATGGTGTATCGCACATGTTGTCCAGGCAGGTTTCCTGGAAGTCATCCTGCCCACCCCATGTAAGGTAAGGCGGCGGCGGCCGCGAGAAAGAAGTCACCGACCGTGGTAGACGCGAGGCGAGTGGCAGCAGCAAGTATGCTCAACAGCGTGTGTGTAAGTGGTGACAAGGTCAAAAAATGTGCAAAGACCGACTCCGAAGGTTCCGAAGGCATCCACGAGCGAGGGTCCGGCCAAGTTCAGCATCATCCAGTGACCGGAGGGAGGAGTTAAGCCAAGAGCTGTGCGGGATGGGAACGGTACCTTAGGTAGTGACATGTCACCCACCTTGGCTCGCTGGCGGAGGTACTCGAGAAATGTACCCGCCCGCCGACCCGAAGCTACGGGAGCTGGCCGGTGTGAGCACGTTGAACAATGGATGGAGGTGAGAGGAAGGGAATACACAGTAGGTAGTGTAAGCAGCTTGAAGGGGTGACATGTGGACGACATGGAAGGCGCGAGAGCTTCATTCCCTGAGATTCTATGTACATACCTTGCCTTCTTTCCTCTGCGCCGTTAGTGATGCTGGTGGGGCAAGCACTACACATCCTGGGAATCTAGCGGGGGTGCGGGGAGCTTTCCTGCACCAGCTTACCAGACCAGCTGCCTTACTCCAGCGGACTTCGCGGCAGTGACGCCATGAGACCCTGCCAGAATTTTTCATTACCACCTCATTGGAGAGAAGAAGGTTGCGATGAGTGCAGTAGCGTGCAGACCTAGACGGCCAGACAAGCTAGGTAAGGACCGTAAGGTGAGGTAAGTACACACCTTACCTGCCTTGAGAAAGAGAGGGTATTCCTGGGAGCAGTTGGAATCCGTACTCTCACTCATCCGTTAGCTCACTCACACTACTTACACGCTTAGTCATTCAAGCTCATCCATTAAACGTCCCCAATCGTGACATCAAAGTGAGACTCTCGTTCCTGGTGAGTGAGTGGCTGGATCTCATCAATATACATAATGCGCCACTGGCTTAACATGTCAGCCTCATGAGGAAGAGAAGAGAGGGCAACTTCCAGCATCGAGATGTACTCCCTTGAACATGGAATCCGTGACCATGCAGCTATGTGTAACTCTCCCGGGATCAACGGGGACTAGGGAACCAGGGGGGTGAGTGGGTAAGGTAGCGACTACGGAGCAACAGACCAACACCAAACAAAACAACCTTATCGCCAAGATCGCAGCAGCCGAGTGCCGTTTTCTCTCCTTACCTCAGGCCTCAAACGCCCTGCGAGATGGTATCTGACCACCAAGCCGTCAATAACACGCGCGTCGATTCGTGGTGCTCGCCGCAGCCACTCAAGCGTCGTCGTCAGATGTGCGAGGCTGTCTTTGCTGCCCACCCATGGTACTAAAGAAGGGCTCATTGAATTTGTAAGTCAACTTTGCTACGGACCAACATTGCTAGTGGTGTGTCCCACCATGTCAGATTCTTACATGAACGTGGCGCCCTTCAGAGACCCGAAGACCTGTGAACACTTCCGTCTAGGCATGGGAGTTGAGTCACACGGGGGAGACGGGCGAGCTACCTATCGCCATCCCATAACTCCGTCGCATCACCTACCTATCCCTGCCCTGCCTTGCCTGCGTCGATCTGTAGTGTAACTTCCGTGGAGGTTGTGGTGTGGTGTGCGTCGTTCCCACTCCACCGATGGGTGCGGTAAGCAGAGACTGAGAAGGGGCCCGGCCACGAGCTAAAATCTCATAGGGCAGAGAAAATGTTTTGTTAATAAGCAGAACGAAGACGTGCAGGACCCCCAGTGCCGGCCGATGCGGGAAGCGCGAAGTACCGACATGAAATGTCTAGGTAATCCAGAACGTAAGAACAAAAGAACGAAACCAAAGTGTTGGCCGCGCTTCCGAACCTCCGTCCGTTGGGAATAAGCCCTGCGTCAAATCCTTCTGACGCCCAGCTCTGCTATCACTGCAACATCATCTAGAGGCCTGAAGGCTGTGTATTTTTTCTCACCCCGAGTTGGAAGTTGAACGACGCCCGGCGGGCGGCCGAGCCTCTGCCAACGCGGCGCCAAGACGAGTAACATTTGCGGACACGGAGGATACACGAAAGCTCCGTACGAACAGGCCATGTACGGAGTACGTTACGGCGTGTCTCACGTCCCGTAACCCCCGTAGACCGCCCGGCCATGGGGTCGTGAAACTTCTGAACTTCTGAATTCCTATATTGATGATGTTGAGCTTGTTTCCCTGTAACTTCTATTCTGCTGCCTGCTTGCATTCTGCAATCAGACTTTGCTCTACTTCTCTTAATGGCCTAACCTCAAGGGAGCCAATGACTTCTCCTGCTTCTCTCTGCGCCATGCCCTTGGCCTGAGTATGTTCAACTTGAGCGGTTGACCGAAACCTGCAATGAGCCATACCCCACGTCAACAGACGCCGGCCCAGATGATTCACTTTGATTCATCACCTACAGAAACTTGGGGGGGGACAACGTCGCCGTACGCCATATAGTGACCGTATTACAAATGGGATGGCACCTAGAAGCCAACAAGTAGAGGATAAGTCAGCAAAAGGAAAAATTAAAGCAGCCTCATGAACAACTAGTTCGCCCAACTCCACCAAGAAGAGAGGAAAAATCCACATGGATGGATGCAAGCAGGAAATCCACAACCCATCCGCCCACCACCTGGCCAAATCCACATAAGAAATCCGTACGTGCGCATCCTTGCCTTCGATCCGCCCGTCAAACCCACGATCCCGCTCTCCTTCTTGGCTCCACATGACAGACTGGCGGGTACGTTGTACCTTTGATGTACCTACCTGAAGTACCTTGGGTACCTCTCATGGCCGACCGGACCTGATTGTTGAAGCACTGCGAGACATCATAAGCGAAGGCCCCTCTTTTCCCGCGGCTTGCGGTCGGTGGCTCCGGAGTCAAGTCGGAGTCCGACCCGCATCGATCACGGGGCATCGCAAAATTCGTAGGAAGTTTTTGAGGCTACTCTGCTTGATATGGATGATGACGCTGTTTCTCGATAATATCGAAGGAACATCAGCTTCTATGCAATTGTAAAATAATATTGATCGAGTCACATCTGCAGTCGAAGGGCGGATATCTCGGTCACCCTTCCGACTACAACACCCAGTATAACAGCTTGAGGTGAGCTGGACATACAAAGACATACCGCCGCACCAGTTTTCTCTGACATTCTAACATTCGATAAGGTGAGATTGTGACATATCACCCGCAATGCTCTAGTCTATTCCATGTCAACTACTGCACCACACCGCCCTCAACCTCTGCTGCGTTGAGCTTGCGTCACAAGATATCGGAACAGCGCATCCGTTTCGATGCTACCAAGAAGAAGAGAATCCTTGGAGAGATGTAGACCGCGACCGCTGTTTCTAGCCTTCCAGGTGGCGCCCCACTTTCATCGTACGTCCCGCGCCGTCACGAGATTCGACTTGTCCGAACCTTCCGGCGGTCTCATTGCGCTGTGTAACCTTGCCGCAGAGCCATCGCGATGCACATGGCCCATCTAAGCTACGCGATTCTTCCAATCGCCGGCTGACTATGGCAAACTCGAAGCTATTGTAGACGTATAGTGTATTGCATTATACGCTCAGCACATTCATACCCTCATTGCGGGATCGTCTGGTTTCTATGATATGCGTAGTCCTCAAAGCCATGAGGTCCATCCCCACTTTCCTCCTACTTAAGTATGACATATCACGGCGTCAAATCTGCCGTCTTCGGATCCGAGGCTCCGACCAAGGTCCGCCAACACCTCTGCCCCGTTTCATCATCTGGACGAATTATAACGCAGATCGATCTTTCAACTTCCATCTCTCATCACTCTGGACCACCTTGTTTTCTTTTTCGAGCTTTCCCAAGATCTGTATGACTCCACCGCTCGCCGGGATATGCAGCTCCTCAGGAACGTCAGCGTAAATGACTTTGACAAGCTCCATGACCGTCCAGGCGTAGGGATCGCCCTCGATACTAGAGCCTTGCCTCGCCGTCCTTAGCGTACGAATGACCTGCTCCTCTCGAGCCTTCCTGTGGTTGATGTAGTCTTGAATCTTGGACGGGCCGTTGTCAACCACGGGCCCGTGACCCGGATACGCCCTTCCCTTGAACAGGCTCTGCATTCTCTCGAGACTGTTGAGGTAGACGGTCAAGTCCTCGAATACTGCGGTACCCTGGCCCAAGACGTTATCCGCCGTGAACATGGCGTCCTCCTCCTCCAAGACGAAGGCCATGTGGTCGACGGTATGCCCCGGAGTGAAGACAGCGGTAAGGCTGACACCGTCGACAACAAACTTTTGGCCGTCCGAAATGTCTGACTGGCCCTCCTCGGGTTGGTTCTTGAAGACCTCTGAGCTCGGAGACAGCTCTAGCAGCTGCTGGATGCCGCCCGTGTGATCATGATGCCAGTGAGTGATCAGTACCTTCTCCACCGTCGCCTTTTCCTGCTCGAGGGTTGACTTGACTGCGGCGATCCACGACGGCTTGCCCTCGCCTGTGTCGATGAGTATACGGCGGCTGCCTGTGCCGACGAGATACGTGTTGGTGCCCTGCAGCGTAAACTTTCCAGGGTTGCCTCCCAGAATGCGAATACAGGCTGGGCTGAGACGCTCGACCTCGGGTAGCGATACTAGTTGTGAAGCCATCGTGTTGTTGTTCTTGGTACGACTCAGACGGGCAATATGTCTAGTCCCGGTTGTAGTTGAGTAAATTGGCCGTCTTAGTCACAAACCAGCGTTGCGATTACATGGGGAAAGCACGCTGGACACAAGACCCCGCATGTTCCTTCAGGTATGCGACAGAGAATTAGCCGCGACGTGACGCTGGGCATTCAATCTGGCGAATAGAGGATAAGTTGGTGCTCCATGTACGTGAAGACGCAATGGAGGGGCAGTGAAGATACCGAGGTTGAACCAAATGCGCCGACAGGCACTTTGATGATGGCTCTTGTAAGCGGCTTACCTCAGCAATGTCTTCATATAGAATTTCACCAGTGACAGTGACCTCACTGTTGCCGCGTTGCGACGGGAGGGTCCTTCTCTGGACCCACCGAAAAGTGCCCCCGAGGTCCTGTGGGAATTCAGGGGCATAGGGGGACTTTCGGCAGGCGGATAACCAAAAGCTGTTATCGATAAGAAACAACCCGATCAGGTGCCGATAAGACCTGGATTTACTGCCTGTTGGCCGCTGGCGCCACGGAATCTACCCGTCTGTGCACCCAGTGCCAGCTCCAACATTTGCAACTTCCAGGGATTGTTTGTAAGGCCTTTTGGGAACTGTGCCCTCCCGACGATCCTGAATCACTTTGCTCTTTGCGCATGAAATCTGTCGCAGTCTGGAGCCTTTGGTTCTGTTTTCCTTCTGCACCACCAAATTTTGCCTCGTCCACAGCTGCGACTGGGACTGGAAGCGACAGCCCGCGCGGACCTTCTCGATCTTCGGCTTGCGCCATCCACCAAAGCTCGCCCACCCGCCCACTCTCTGGGGAGCTTCACCACAGCGCGAAATCGCTCCTTCCGACAATCCAAACATCCTCTACTTTGCTCAGCTTCACTGGCTCGGCTTTTCTAGCCGGTAAATCCTACTCTCACTTTATGTTTCCGTCTCTTGTCTTACCAATTGACCCATTGTATTGCGACAAACTCGCGGCTAACGGTGGATTTCCAGTAGTATTGTTGCGCTGGCCCGACTCCGGCCGTTACCAATCCACGACGCCTTCCTTGCCCATCGTCGGAATCACGAACTTATCTTTTCGGTTTTGGATCACATTTTGCCTCGGCCTTTTTTGCGCAATAGGAAAATCCCAAGTATTTTGCTTTCCAGGTGCTTCAAGGCAAGAGCAAATAGGCGAAAGAGCAGGACGACCGACCGATTAATTAAACAACACCATCCACAACATCCAAAATGTCTGCTCGACCAACGACGCCGATGTCCCCAAAGACCGCCAAGGTCAAATCGCCCCTCCCTGGCACACCAGTCTTTGGCTGCGGTCAGTAGACCCCGATTGTGACTTGCTGCGGCGGCAGGAAAATGGGCCAGAGTCAGGCTGACAGGATACAAACAGAACACATCCAGCGGCTGTTCACCCAGTCCACAGAGGGTATTACCCAATGTGTCCACCACTACAAGATGATCCTCAAGAACATCTTTGAGCAGACGCCTGTTGTGCCGCAAACATTCAAGAACTCTGACGGCCAGGTCATGACGTCTCTCACATCCAACTACCTCTGTCTACAATGCTCCGCCATTGTCAATGAGGATGATCGTCTCAAGCACGGCACAAAGAAGCAGCATCGCTTCTGTACGTGGCCCGTCACCGAAAGCAAATGTGAATTTCCTAACAAAGTTTAGATGTCGACTCAAGGAGTGGTGCCCTCTACTGCCAGATCTGTGATGACCTAGTTTGGGACCCCACTCTCGAGGAGCTTCGAGTTCGTAAGATGGGAACAGGAACTTTTTCCAGTAAGTTGTCTTTACCCATGAGAGGCGTCCCCCTCGTACCTCAAACTACAACCTGCATTGTTGTACCGCCCAGCTTTGGCTCCTAGCTGCCTGATCAACATGCTAATTGATCTTCTAGACCGTAAGAGAAAGCACGATGAGATGTTCTCAGATGGCGTAAAGGACAGTTCTGCAAGCAACCCAGGCTTTATATCCAACAACACCACCACTGCCTCTTGCAAAGCCAATGGTCTGCGCGGAATCTACAATGCCGGAGCAACATGCTACCAGAATGTGGTGCTGCAGAGCTTCCTCCACAACCCCCTCCTGCGCAACTTCTATCTAAGCGACGGCCATCAGAGCACCGATTGCCAGCTGACAAACTGCCTCAGCTGTGCCATGGACGACATGTTCCAGGACTTCTATGCTGTTGAGAATACTAATGGATTCACGGCGGCTAGTATTCTGTCTGGATTCTGGATCTCGGAGAAGAAGGCGTTTGAGAACCTCGTCACCACCAAGGAGCAGGATGCCCATGAGTTCTTCCAATTCCTCGCCGAGGAGCTGCATGAGCGCAATGGAGATGGCAAGCGTCCTGAGACTGGAAGCGAGCATACATGTAATTGCATCATCCACCAGACATTCTACGGCAAGCTCCAGACTGGCACTACTTGCCAGAACTGCGGAGGCGTCACCAACGCGGTTCAATCCTTCCTGGACCTCAGTCTCGGACTGGAGAACCTCTCTCATAGGAGAAAGAAGGGAGGCCAGAAGGTGCCCAGCCTGACTCTGCAGGAGTGCTTGGATGAGGAATACGTCAAGTCAGACAAGTGCGAGTATCGGTGCCACAACTGCAGCTCGATGCAGCAGGCCAAGAGAGCCACCAGCATTAAGCGGCTGCCAAATGTGCTCGCGATACAGCTCAAGGTATGTCTAGCCGCATGATTACGGTGCCCTTGTCGCCAGCTAACAATCATTACTAGCGATTTGAGTACAAGCAGGGCCGCCATGACCGCGCATCAAAGATCGAGACGGTGGTTAACTTCCCCCTTCAGCTCAACATGCTGCCATATACTACCAGAGGTAGAGGCGCGGACTCCAAAGATGCCTTTGACCTCGGAAGATCTTGCACGTACGACCTCCTTAGTGTGGTGGTCCACGTGGGCGAGATCGACACGGGTCAGTTGACACATGACGAACCAATTTGACGCTGTTACTGACTGAGTACCTAGGCCATTATGTATCCTACTGCCGAGTAGGCGACCAGTGGTTCAAGTTCAACGACCACAAGGTTGAAATGGCGTCAAAGTCAGACGTCATGAGTGCTCAACCCTATCTGCTCTTCTACATTATTCGTTCACTCTCGTAACCTCATACCTCGAGAGAGAACGAAACGTATCACGCCTAGCAGTGTAAAACAGTAATGCCACCAGGTCAAACGAGGTCAAGACGGTGGCCCGCCGAAAGTATGTGGAAAAGGGGCGCTTTGGAATGGCGAAGGCGGGGGGCGACGGAGGATCAAGCATCTTGTCGGCGTTGGAAATAAACGTGGGTAATGCATCGTCTTGGGCCCTTTGGCAAAGGCGAACAACAAAATCCGCATTTTGGATGGCAATCCTAAGGAGCCATCATTGTATAGAACAGCGATCAAGCGTATGTACTTTCTATTGAAATCTCGCAAACCAGAAATATGTGCCAAATCGGGCCCCGTCAGGGCAAGAGGGCAGGCCTATCATCATGAGCTCGCCACCCCATGTGAGGAGGGTCGCGTTGCCTCGGTCTACTTTCTAAGGATCTGTTCCCCCTTTTTTCAACTCGAAGCCGCCTCCCGCCACGTCCAGTCTTTGCACTCAAAGTTTGCGTAACACCAAAACTCGTTGCTGAGCCCTCGCTCGTGGCTCGGCTCATATGTGACGGTTCTGACACCGAGGGGCTTGTATACCCTGTTCACCAACTCAGCCATGCGCTCGCCAGTGCTGACGATGACGCGGCCCTTTTCGGCGACATCCGGCTTCATCATCCACCGGACCGACATGGCGGCTGGAGATCAAAGGACTTTAGCATGGAGGCGTTCTTTCTTCTACTTGAATCCCGGGAGGAGGGGGTTAAGCTTACTCTTGGTCTGGCAGTCCTCACTGAGGAATGGCGGGTCGATGACGAAGCGGTCTACGACACCCTTGAGCTCACTCGGGAGCTTGAAGGGCTGCGCAAAGTCGTAAAAGACGAACTCAGGGAAGACGTTGAAGCGGTTGTCGTGTTCCAGCAAAAAGACCTTTGGCCGGGCCTCGCTCTCGTCTCGCGTAGTCTGCAGAGTAGTCAATTTATCGTCCAAAGACATGGCGAATCGCCCCTTATAGCGGTGCTCTTACCAGGATATTATGCAGAGCAACAAATACACTGGGCGCAGACACAATCGCAATCGTGGTATCCGCATCAGCGCCCTCGAGGAGTTGCCTCGCCAAGAAACCCGCCGTCTCGTCAGAATACTAAGGGAACAAAAACAAAATCTCAAGTCAGAATTTTGTGCTTCCTCTTTTCCAGAAACCCTTGGAAAAAAGCGCATTGCTTTTCTGCGTGCTGATGAAGGTTCCTCCTTACCCAAAATTGCGACTTATTCCAGTCCTCCATGAACGCCGCCATGGATATCGGTGCCTTCCTGGCCGCATTCGCCTCCGCTAGTTCCTGGAGCCTCTCAAACTCTTTCAAACGGGCATCCTCCTCGGCCTTGAATTCGGCCAGCGCCGCCAACGCGTGCGAAGAGAGAGCACTGTCGGCGCAAAGAAGAAGAAGTGTTAGTCAATACTGTGCCACTTGTCCGGTGGAGACGGGGATAGTTCGAATTTTTCGGTTCTTTGGAGCTGGCTTACAGAGGCTCGTCCTCGCTGTCTGAGATGCTCATCTTGACTGTGTTTTGACGAAAAGTTTTAGTGAGTTTGGTGAGCAAAGGGAAAAGAGAAAGTCTGCATGTGAGCCAGCCGCGAACGAACAAAGTTTTATGATAACGACTGCAGTGACCAAGAGGGTTAAAATGTAAGAGGAAAACTGAGTCGCAACGTGAGGTGAAAGGACTGCTAAGTCTGTGTCAAGGACCCAGTTTGAACTGTCAGAAACTACACTGTATCAACGAATCAGCTTTGACATTGCAGACATACCAACTGATGCCAACACCACGGAGCAAAAACCACATTGTAGAAAGTTCGCACATTTGAGAGATGCTGTTCAAACTGTACATGGATTCCTCGACTTTTGCAACTCTGTCTAGCTGACTACTTATATACACTCTAAACGACTTGCTTGCCCAGAATCAAATCCCTCCAACAAATGAAACCCAGGCTTACTCGTCAAGAACGTGCAGGTACTTGCGCTCCTCCTTCTTCTCCTTCTCTGTTGCAGGGGGTAGGTCGTAGAAGTTGGCACTGCGGAAACCTTGCTATAAGGAAGTCAATACACGTTACTCTGATAGAGAAAATCACGGGCGTCCTTACCAGGTAATGGTATGTGAACTTGCTAATGTCACCGGGCTCGATGCCGAGGTCCTTGAATGTCTTGGCGGTCTCGTCGATGTCCTGGTCAATGAATTCACGCTCAACTTCGTCGGCAGACATGGTGTGCCACCAGAGGTACTTGTTCAGGAGACCGGCGATAGGCTTGAGGACAGCCTTGGGGAGGTTGATGTGGCGGCGCTTCTTGAAAATCTCACGGTCGGCAAACTCGGCAATCTCGGCCATCGAGTATTCCTTGGGGCCGTAAAGCTCGTAGGTCTGACCTGCTGTGCTGTCGTCGTAGAGCATGACCTCGAGAGCCTGGCCAACGTCGATGGACTGCAATTGTTAGGTCTTACGCAAGGTAGGCATCATTACGCAGAGCTTACGTGGACGGGCCTGAATCTCTCTTGCATGTTGTTGGCAGTGAAGAGGTTCATGACGTTAGCGAGCTTCAGAAGGAGGTTGTCTTCGAAACCGAAGACGGGCGCCGGCCGCACAATGGTGGTCTCGGGGTAGATGCTGCGAGCGACTTGCTCGCCACGGGCCTTGGTGCGGAAGAACTCGGATGTTGACTCGAGGTTGGCGTTGTAACTGGAGACGTGGATAAAGCGATCGACATCGTACTTGGCAACAGCCTCAGCTATCCGCTCAGTTCCCTCGACATGGACATCCTCGAGGGAGTAGTTCCTAGGCGTTTTCTTAGCCATCGATCTTCAAATGCCCCTCGCTTCATAGACCTACTTGGTGGGGTAGTCACGGCCGACCAGGTTGTAGACAACATCGGAATGTCTAACGCTCTCTTCGATCGATTGGGTGTTGTAGAGGTCGTACTCCTATAGCCATCTCATTAGTCTTCCTAGACTTCAGTCCGCCGCATCGGAAGGGAGACCGTACAAGGAAGACGACTCGGCCAAGGTCACCAGAGACCTTCAAGTGGCGCTTGGCCATCTCCTCACGGAAAGGGACGATAACGGTGCATCCTTGGCGAGCTATTGGAATCGATCAGTATTGCAGTAAAAGTTCGTCGTATGTGTATCGTCGTACCGAGCCTGTTCACGATGTATCGTCCAACCTGTCCCGTTGCGCCGAAAACCGTCGCAGTGTGTCCTGTAATTCAACCTTAGACAAACGTCCCGTGATCAATTCGTTCGATCGGTTCATACCACCAAGAGAGTGTCTGTATTCAGAATCGAGTCAGCAACGTCCTATAGAAACGCAATTGATTGGCATGCCTACCTTCCGCCCTGGGTTCGCAGGATGGGTTTGCCTGTACGGGTGATGGCAATATCGGAGATGGGCCTGCTTCTCAAGGCATTGTGCGCGACCTTCTGGGTCGACCGCACGGCGGTTTGAAAGGAGGCCATTTTCGGATATCGAGGCTGCAACAAATAAGTGCGGTGGCCCCTCAATTGACTCGCAACTGAACGCTTCTTGACCGGCCGAAAGCTCCAAAGTCGCGAGCTTCATCCAGAATCCCGGACGGAAGGTGAGCAGGTCACGTGGAAGCAGGTGCACGGCCCATTGCATGGTCATAGGATCGGAAAAACAACTATTGGTTATCCTATCCGGGAGTGGGTCCTGTCCAGAAGCATCCGAATCGGTGCTGCGCTACGTACCTCTGTACCTTAGCTGACTGACCAGGCTGCTGGCTAGCCGCGTTATGTGCATCGCCCCTCCGGAGCTGCTACTAACAGCTGCTGTTGCTTGCATTCATCAACACCATTCACACAACTACCAGACGAACTCCCCGGCATTTTCCACGACGAAAGTCCGCCCCTGAGCCTCAATCCCTCTGCCCCTGAAGCTGCAATCTGAGGAAAGAACTGCCATCTGGTCTTTCTTCAACGATTCTGTCGTCATCCTGAACCCCTCCGAAGCTCACACACCCACCGACCGAGACCTCCCACCAAGATGAGCGCCGACGCAATTCCCGACTTCCTGGCGGAGCAGCGCGACGAGGCCCCTGAGGAACTTCAGCACCTCGTTCTGGAGTTCGAAAACTACTGGGAGAGGAAACTCTGGCACCAGCTCACCGATGCCCTCGGCCAGTTCTTCAGTCACCCGGGCAGCAAGCCCCAGCGACTCTCCTTCTACAAGGTCTTCATTCTCAAGTTTGCGGATAAGATCAACCAGCTTAAGCTTGTCGACTTGGCATTGAAGGCTGCCACCGAATGCTCCGGTAAGGCTTAGCCACACAGGAGTTAGGAGAGGGCATGAAACTGACGGGGTCGCTATAGATGATGAGGAGCGCCTCACATTCCTCCAAGGAGTCGCGAAGAAGGTAGACAACGAGAACTCACAGGATGCTTTGGTATACGCTTCCGTCGCTGTTGCCAGAGTAAAGCTGGATCTGGAGGATATGGATGGCGCCCGCAAGGACCTCGACACAGCCGAGAGAATACTGGACAGCTTCGACTCCGTCGAGACGATTGTCCACGCAGCGTTCTATGATGCGAATGCCAACTACTACCAGGTAAGCACTTCGCCCACCTTCCCCAAGCAAGTACAGGACATTTGCTGATGTGGTTTCCAAATTCAGCGCAAGATGGAATTCGCAGCCTACTACCGCAACGCCCTTCTCTACCTCGCCTGCATCGACATCAACTCCCTCACACCCCAGGAGCGACACAGGAGAGCGCTGCACCTCAGCATCGCCGCATTAGTCTCCGACACCATCTACAACTTTGGTGAGCTGCTGTTGCACCCCGTCCTCGACGCCCTCAAAGGCACGCAGGACGAGTGGTTCCGCGACCTCCTCTTCGCCTTCAACCGCGGCGACCTACAGGGCTTCGAGGCTCTCTCGGCCCGCATGCGGGCCAAGCCTTTGCTCGCCGAGAACGCCGGCCACCTCCGCCAGAAGATCTACCTCGCGTCCCTCACCGAG